GGTGTTAAAGTCCCAATACCCGGGGGGGGGGCCCCCCCCCCCCCGCCCCCCCCCCCCCCCCGGAGGCTACGGTCCTGCACACAGACAGAAAAAAGTGAATTATCGGAACGTTACTAATGGAGCCACGTGGAGTAGATGTCGGTCTGTATATGTCGCACCTTGACCAAGAACCCTGATGACGAGTGAACGGTAGTTAAGATCAATACCTGGTGGATCGACTACTGTTCATGCGTGACAAGCCCTAATTGCACAGAAAGGTAACAAACCGATATCCAGTGGGCGCTACCGACAGTCCGGTGACGGCCAGCTACTATCAATAACCATGTCACCGGCGCGTTTCCACCGGGTCAGAATAAAACGCGCAATACAGCGCAATATACTAGAAAAAAAAAAAACAATCCCGTCGCAAGTAGGCCTAAACACAGGAAACGGTCATTTCCAACAAAATAGGGTGATATAAAAGCAATATGATACGGTCAAGAAGAGTCCCGGCGATAAACAAGCCGTTCGTTAAGTTGTTTCAACATCGTATTCTGTTGGGATTGTCCGTTTCCTGTGTTTACTTGCGACTGCTTTTTTTTTTTTTTTTTTTTTTTTTTTTTTTTGTGTGTGTGTGTGTGTGTGTGTGTGTGTGTGTTGCGCTGTATTGCCCGCATGTATTGCCCCCCCCCCCCCCCCCCAATACAATGTACATGTAATCATGTAATACCGCACTAGTATTTTACCAGTGCTTGTATGGGGAAATTACTTTTCTGTGTCTAGAACAGTGCGGTATTCTTGAGTCGTATTACGTGGTTGATTAGCTTCACTTATCATGACCTATCGCTCGAAGTGACAGCCGAACGCACGTAGGCCTACAAGCCGAGTAGACAGAATGATCAGGGATCCTAGAGAAAGGTGAGAAACGGCCATTGTTCTCGTCAGATAGGTTAACTATTTTAGGGTATGTACGCACTGGCAGAAAATTACGAATTGTGGGAACGTATACTAATGAAGCCACTGGAGTAGGCCTACTAGTAGACGTCAGTACGTAGCCTACATGATCTAGTCTTGAACAAGATCTTCGATGATGACAGAACACTTGTCAAAAACATAAGACCCAGGTATGGTAGATCGACCACTGTTCATGCGTGCCGCAAAGGCCAAGCCCTATGACTGCCCCTAAAGGTTACAAATCAATATCCGGTTCTGACGGTTAGGCAAGCCTAATCATAAGTAACGCGTTTCCACCCCTGATCACGGAAGCAGCAAATCGTCACATAACAACATCGTATTCAAAATATCCAAACAGATTCTGCCTTTCCGCCCACCGATTTAATTAAATGAAAGGAGACCACTACATGAACTTACTGTCACGGTTTCCTTAATAACACTGCTGTTTAACCGCCATAGGGATAGGATTTTTGTGATCGCCCAACCTAGCTTCTGTCACCGATCAATGCAAAAATGCCTGTGCCTCGTTACAGAACTAGGTCACAGAAGTGCTTTGTGTGACCTAATTACGTGTAGTGTTCAGACTGCCTAGATACGTCTGATTCACGGTTTTAAACCAAATGAATAGTTGATACTGTGCGCATGTGGTGCTACATAAATTGAATTTTGTGATCTTCTAGAATAACGATAATTTTAATTATTTAGGATGACTACGGTTAAAATGCCGGATGCCAATGGTCATACTATGACCATGGTTAAGTGGCAGGGGGAGTATTTCCCACCCTTTCCAGGTACTGGGCCTCGTATGGACAAGATGAAAGATTTACCAATGAGGGATAACGACGTCTTGATTTCCTCATACCCCAAGTCAGGTAAAGATATCTGTAAACTCTTTTGTATTGATGGATTTCAGTTTTTGGTCTTACATAATGCATTGGATTCGGGTACATGTGCCAGTGCATTGTACAGGTACATGCTATCGGGATGCCATCTGAGTAACCCAGTATATGCGAGTAGCATTTAAGGTTGAAAACTGAGTTAAGTAGACGGGGTACATGATAATTATAACTACACTTACAGGTAGAGTAAGTAAGGTTAGTTTATACATGTACAGTATATATAAATAATGCCAATTGCCAAATACTTGATGAAAACATGTTTTAATAACAACATGTTAACCATTTTTAATTGAGATGTAAAATTGTACAAAAGCCACATGAGCCTTTCAACATGCGTTTTTCCATATACTAATAGAATGTGTAATGCTTCAAGATAAATCTGTTCAATAATTATTGCTGTTTACTGTTTTAGGAACACATTGGGCATGTGAAATTGCAAGGATGCTTGTTAGCAACAAGGCAGAGAACCACCATGTTGAAGGTTTGGGAAAGGCCCCTGAATACATTGATATGTCAGATCAAGAATTAGTGAACAGCATGAAATCGCCCAGAGTCCTGTTTACACATCTTCCAACAAAACACCTACCAAAGGGTGTGTGGGAAAAGAAAATTAAGATCATCCATTTGATCAGGAACCCAAAAGATGTTGCAGTTTCCTTTTTTAACTTTGCCCAGGCATTCTCTGTGTTTGAATATGAGGGTAACTGGGATGGCTTTGTGACACTGCAGAATAGTGGACATGGTAATTTATAAAGTTCTATACTTAGGTTGGCTGTAATGTGTATTTTGTGATGTTAATTTTGGATGATTATTTCTATCAAAAGAGAAGTGTTAATTAATAAGTATTTTGTTTCAAATAATGAGGAAAAATGTGTAAATTGTTCGTTGTTTTTTGTTGTTGTTTTTTTTTTTTTTTTGTCTTTGAGATGCGCATTTTCAAGTTTGGTTTTTTCTTGAATTCATTTTTGATTGAACAAATCTGAAGGGAAGTAGATAAAACTTTTAAGTCTATCTTTTCAAATTTAAAAAGCATATTACATAACAAGCTACACGTAGGGATGTGTGCATAAAATGCCATTTTTACTGTAAACTAATGAAAACTAGAAAAAGTGGCACTTGTTTATGAAGCACTTGTTTACGTTCGGAGATCTGATGATCTTTCACCTTTCACACTCACACATGTATAAATGATTATGTAAAAAATAATAAATAATGACCCTCTTTAATTTCAGTCCCATCGGGATCTTGGTTCAGATACATGTTGGACTGGTGGAACAGCCAGAAAGGAAACCCAAATGTTTTATTCATAACATACGAAGAACTCAGTGCAGTAGGTTCCACATAGCAAAACTTCTTACTTCATCATTTTAGTCTTACAAAATATAAATATGACTTAGACTGGGTTCCCATGCCTAGATCAATCCATCTGGATTGGTCTAACTCCCTGGGGAGTCTCACTAAATTGCTATCAACTAACCTGCTTAAATGTCTGTCACGCCTACCAAATCAGCTAGGGGGTAAAGATAATCACCCCCTAACAGCTTTACTAGGTGTGACAGACATTTAAGCTGGTTGAGTTGAATGGCAATTTGGTGAGACTCCCCAGGGAGATAGATCGATCCAAATATCTGTGGGAATGGTCCCTTAATCTACATATACAGCATCAATCCTGTTTGTTTGTCTGTTTTGTGCGTAGTGACCTGTCCCAAAGACAGGTTGCTACCAGAAGCATCTGCTTTGTTTACAAATAAATGCAGCAATTATTAATATTATTCAGTGTTAGTTGTTATAGTAACCAAGTTGTTCAGTTTTTCCTATCAATCATGCTACTTTTATTCTCAGTTGGACCATTTTTATTGGTTGAATATGTACATGTCCCAAATGTATTATTAACATGTATAATTTTAATAGACAAACTTTATGCCAAGCTTTGTTCACATCTTTATTGCAGAATGACCAAAAGGTTGTGAAGAAAATGGCAGAGTTCTTGAACTGCACCAACACTGATGAATTTTATGAGGAGGTGGGAAGAAAATGCAGTTTCCACTCGATGAAAAAATCAAGAGAGGATGCCATGAAAATCTTTTTTAGAAAAGGTACTTATTTGATAAAGAATGTCATTCTTTTCCCTATGTCAACAGTTGTAGCCCTTCAATTTTAACTTGCAAAACACTATAATTTCAAAATAAGCTTTACCTCTTTATATGACAAAGTTGATATTTACAAAGTTTATATTGATTAACATGTTTGTGGGGACATGTCTCAATCTTAGGTTGACTTTCTTTACTGAGTTTATTGAAAAGTGACTGAAACATGAATATCATTCCACATTTATCTTACCATAATTTGTTTAAAAATGGAAACTGATGAAGAATATTATAAAGTGGACTTAATTTGAATAAAGCAGTCAGTATACTGCTGAACAGTAATGCAGCAGTAGCCTATGTGGTATAAAGTAAATTGTTTTGGAACCACAGACGTACCTCTGTATATACAGTAGACTTCATCACTCGGATATTTTGGGACTGGTAAATTGTTTCTCAAAGACTTAAGGCAATGTTATCAGTTCTAGCTTATGGGAAAATTTAAGTGTAAAAGATTTGATTAAGGTAAATGGTAATTCAAGTTACAAGGTGAAGAGATAGCCAGACTCTGCTGTATTAATTTCATAGACTTGTTTTTTTTATTTATTACTATTATTTTTTATGGCAGGTCAAGTGGGTGACTGGAAAAACTGGTTTACTGTGGCGCAAAATGAAGAGTTTGATAAGCTATTTCAGGAACAAATGAAAGAAGCACCAGACTTAATACCAAGGATAATTTTTGATCTTCAACCACAAGGCCATTGACCTTGTTCCACCATAGAACCAAGTTTTAAAGACCTAACCAAGGTGTAGGTTGCAGAAAAGTAAAGTCCAATAAAGTGACGTTTTGGGATTGTTATGTTATTTTCACAGCAAACTGAGCAGACAACTTGTTTTTCTATATGAGGACCACTCCATGGGATTTCCCTGCCATGATGTATTGTTACAGGTTCTCTCCCCTCGATTGAAAATCCCAGTAGCACCTAGCTAAAGAGCCCACATCCAGCTAGCCACTGGGGTGACTGGTCTGCCGTCTGTGACAACGACCTCCCGCCCTCATCGGAGTGCCTTTTGTGACCCACCCTTGGTGACGGCTGTCTCCAGCAAGTATACTGCATCAAACTATGAATGAGGCAGCTGTAATATCCTCAAGTCGTAGTCTCTCACTTCTTCTTCTGCTTGGCGGCCCCTTGAAGCTTATTACTACGAGTAGTCTCGTCCCCTTCGTTCAGGTCAGCTGACAGCTGTCTTGGTCTTCAAAGCTTGATCTTCTTCCTCCGTGGGAATTAACATCAGATCTGCAGGTTTATTGAACATTAACTAATTGTGAGTGTATCCAGTGATCCTATTGACTGACTCTCTCAGGCTCCCGGTGGTTTGCTGGAGACGCAAATCCCATCTATTCTGGGCTTTTTGTGTAAAACAGCGCACTGCATCCATCAGAGTATGGTTATAATGCTCTACTTGTCAGTGTGTTCAGAATACATATTCTCTGAGTGGTAGAATATTGCTTTTTAACACAGGAACATTCATATTGGCGGGAATATGGCATGGAATGCCCCTTTAAACTATAAAATGGGTGCATTGCATAACAAGTAAAACGTCTGGTAGTATAATTCAAAGAAATGTATGCAACAAAATTTGTATTATCGATAGACGAATTATTTCATTATTTATTTTAAAAACGGTATTAAAAGTCCCACAGAGGACGGGTGATAGACTCACATTATTGTAAAATAAAATTCTATTCTTTTACATAAAGTGTGCGTCGTGTTAGACTCTATGCGTTTTCACTGCCATGCAGATTCGGAAAAATGTGTATTCGTGGGGAACTGAGACACACGATACAATATTCTAATGCTTGGGAAATATTTTTAATGCAGGCAAACTGAAAAAAGTGAGGTGGCTTTTTTTCTTTAACAGTTCACCTGCTGTGCGACTGATGATTGGTTTCATTACGGCCATGTAGAGAGCTTATCTCTTAAACTATCAGTAGCCGTGATTACATTGAATGGGGTGATCGATAACTACTAGCACCATCCTATCAAACGATATCATTTTGAAGTTTTGTTTGAATGAAGGGAACGAAATTGCCTTTGGATTGACAGGATTATTTTTAGAAACTTTTGAATTTTTGTATTTTGTTGAATTATGTGTTACGCATTAGTCCCCATGATGTGTGAATTCCTAATAACTCGTCGTTAAATTAAATTCGCTTCCTCAGTGTGCGTAAGGGACTACTTAAAACCAACCAATTTACAAAGGGGTCCTTTTACATAGATGGAGAGTTCATATTTTGGCCCTCAGTATCTACTGACGTGCCCCCCTTGACCAACTGTACATGTACGTGAGTTATAAAATGAGTTCCATGATTCAGCGGAAACTATCAGAAGATATCAGTTTTCACTATGACAGCCGTTATATCAGGTTTACGTGCAGTTCGACCTTAATCTATAATTTGCACAGCAATGATGAGATTGCTATGTTTGGCATTTCATTAAATACACGAACTGTGCATGGTAAGTGCGGAATATGGATGCTGCTGATTTAAATGGATAGTCCTGTAATAGTGGTTTGCTTACAAGTGTCGGGATCCTCCTCACACTAATTTTTGTCTGCAAAAACACTATTTTGCACGTAGAGCAAGCAATTTCAGTTATTTCAATTGGGTTATTGAAGGATGTGTTTGGCACTGAAAACATACAAGTTTTGTTAATATCCTGAAGTTGTAAAATTCGTGTCGATGTTTGACAACGACAATAATGTGGTCGATATCGAAGTTTCCAACTTATAACCGATAACGGGTTTAGCTCACCACGAATTTTTGTTCCACTTTTAGGAACAGGAACCAAATTTTTTGATGAACCAACAGTAAGTTTTCAGAATATTAAACTATTGTAAAGGCTGACATTTATACATACTATTACATTTACATGCTCCAGTCTTAGCGCCATGACCCGCAGAAGAATTGCGATCATTGGAGCCGGCGCCAGCGGTTTGGTTTCAATCAAAACCTGCCTGGACGAGGATCTGGACCCCGTCTGCCTGGAGAGGACTGACGGCATTGGCGGGCTATGGCGGTACACGGACAACGCCGTAGATGGCCAAGGCTGCGTCATGAAGTCGACCATCGTGAATACCAGCAAGGAAATGATGTGCTTCAGCGATTTCCCTGTGCCGAAGGAATTTCCAAACTTCATGCACAACACGCTGGTTCAAAAATACTTCGACATGTACTGTGACCATTTTGATCTCAGAAAACATATCCGTTTTAGGAAGGCAATCCTTAACATCAAACCCGCTAGCGATTTCGTCTCGACCGGACAGTGGGACATTGAAATTAAAGACCTTCCATCTGGAACCGTTAGTACCGAAACTTATGACGGCGTATTGATTTGTACAGGTCATCATGCTTTCAAGAATTCCCCGTCGTTCCCGGGACAGGAGGAGTTCCGAGGTCAGGTGATGCACGCGCACGATTACCGGACTCCAGCTGGATTTGAGGGAAAGAAAGTCGTGGTCATAGGAGCGGGCAATTCTGGAGGAGACATTGCTGTTGAACTAAGCAGGGTTAGGTCACAGGTAAGACTACGCTTTTTCTCGTTTCGTTATGGAGGAAAAACGAGGACATTCCCGATTCCACGCAATGCGTGTCTTGTGAAATGTCAGTAAGACGAATAGCGTTTCAAAGGTTATTGTTAGTATTCAGAACTATGTTATCTTATTAAAATGATTAAAAAAATATAGAATCCTAGTGCAGGCTGGAGCAATGATAATGAGTACCAGTAGATAAAAATTGTTTCCTTTTTTTTCCCCGATTTGGCTTGAAAATTCAGATTGGGATACCTTCAAGAAATGGGAGATAGAGATGAATTGTAACTGAAATTACAGAAGGATAATTAAACCAAAATTGACTCTCATTGATTGATTTTGAATTCAGGTCCTCCTTTCTACCCGAAGCGGAGCCTGGGTATTTAACCGTCTATCGTATGAAGGTGTGCCTTACGACCTCTTAGACTATCGCCGGATCGTCTGGAAAATCGTCGATTGGATGCCTGAATCACTGATCAACGCCTTGATGGAAAGACGTCTAAACAACCGCTTTGACCATGTGACATACGGCATCCAATGCAAGCACCGTTTTCGCAGCGTCCATCCAATGACCAACGACGAGCTTCCAGGGTGTATTGCGAGTGGGGGCGTGGTAGTCAAACCCAATGTTAGTCGAATACTAAAAACAGGCGTTGAATTTGATGACGGCACTGTGGAGGAGAATGTCGATGTGGTAGTCATAGCAACTGGGTATACCATAGGGTTTCCTTTCATAGACCAAAGTGTGATTGGTGTCAGTGATAATCAGGTGAGAGGTGCTAAGAATGAACACTGCTTTTGTCCTTAACTTTAATGGATTCCTAGGTTCTATTTATTTATATATTTATTGATCTGTTTAATTTATTTGTATGAAACCAACCAATCATGGCTTTCTTCCACCTATATAGACACATATAGTTATTATAATAAACTTTTAAGATTAAAATTATAAACAAAAAGAAACGGTCTCCCATAAGCAACAGAGTGGTTTTTGTGTTATTTGGAGAAATTTGGAGTGTTTTAAAATCATATAACTGTGGAAACGAAGGTACCATCTAGACTACATTTCATTGCTGTTCGAGATTGCGAGTATATATGAGAGTTATACATTCTAGGGCCGTTATTCAATCTCTCTTTCCATCTTTTAATTGTAGACGAAATATTTATTTATTTATCTATTTATTCAATTTACTAGGTAAATCTTTACAAGTATGTCTTCCCGCCGGATTTGGTGCACCCCACGTTGGCCGTCATTGGTTGCATTCAGCCCATAGGAGCCATTAACCCAATAGCCGAGATGCAGGCTAGATGGGCTACCAAAGTCTTCAAAGTACGATATCGACCAAAGTTAATGGCATTTATCATAACTAATTAGTTGTTTTATAACAACTTGCAATCTGTACAAATACATATACCGGTAAATAATAGAAGGGATAAAATACAGAATGTACTAGTAAAATAGAAAATGCTCTATTTATTGTATCCATCCTAATCAAGGAACAAGAGAGATAATTCCTTGGCCTAATTGACTTTTGATTTTTAAGAAATATGAGTATGTATGAATGAAAAAAATCTTATAAATATATAGTTGGTGTTGACTTTTTTGACAGCGTGCTATGGTTAATAAGAAAAGAATAAAACAGATTACACTTTACTCTGTTTCAGGGAGAACTATCTCTACCATCACGGGAAAATATGGTGGCCGACATAGCTGACAAGAAGATGCGGATGCGCAAGCGCTACGCAGAAGGAGCACATTACACCATTCAGGTGGATTATGTTCCTTTCATGGATGAACTGGCTACACTTGTTGGATGTAAACCATCAATAGGTATGAAATTTCAATCATTTCCTAGAAATAATGTAAGCCCCTGCGCAAATTCCTGTCATATTTGAAAAAAAGAATGAAGTAAAGTCAGTGTCTTAAATCACGAAAATAATAAAAGTAATAACGTTGATAAAGTATCAAACCAAAAATCTGAACAGTTTATTGTTGCCAATTACTGACGGAACTCGGTCAAAAAAATAATTCATTTGATGGACAGGAGTTAACCAGAAGGCCTACGTTGTGTTTATCTCGAAGCTTAACCTATTGTGTAATAACATTTTTAACATTCATTCACTTTCAGNAGGGTCTCAATGTAGCCTGAGAGGGGACATAACCTTGGCTACAGATTATCCCATAACCATCTCCACAATGCAGAACATGCAAGACCTGACAGGTTCTCTACCGGGGACATATCCCATCACAGGCCTCTGCATAGTCTCAGATAAATCTGCCTGTCCTGCAGGATACAGTGTGGTGAGGATGTGTACTTCCTGACTTTCTTGACATTAGCATTTGCTAGTAGATATGGTTATAGAGCCCAGTGCCCCGCGTATGCTCAGAAATACAGAACTTAGTATTCTTTTACATTGATTTCATTTCAACTCTGAATACTGAAAAATACCTAACCTGGATAAGATACTTATGAATTGATTACTACATGTAAGTGCTAGATGTGAACTTTACTTAATTATTAAATCATATTAAAGAGTTTACTTTGAGAAATTACTTTTAATTAGATTGCAAGATGCCATGACAGTAATGAAGAAGCTGACCTATGGAAGGACTCTTTTCTGAGGAAAAAGATCACCAGATTTCTTTGTATCACAAGGGTTTTCCCCCTGGCAAATGGAGCACTGAATAATGTATTGGCAGATATTGCAGTGATCAATGAAAATGATAACATGCCAGCTCAGTTCTCTCGTATTGAATATACACAAAACTCAGGTGAGGTGGTACAGGTGTAGACATTATGGATATGAATACTTTAACCTTTATTTTAAGAAGAGAAAGTGGCAGGTTTAATTTTTTTTCTGTCCTGTTGTGAAGAGAATATATTAGTTGCTATGTTTCAAAAATGCATTGTGTTGTCAGAGAACGTAATTGTGCCAAAAGGTAATTTCTGTCATAGTTTTTATGCCATGCTTTTTTTTTCTAGATTGTTATGATAAGTCCTGAAAAATTTTTTTTCTGCTCAAGCATATCTTGAGAAGGAACTTAAAGGATATTTGGTGATTAATGTTTTGTGTAAATATGAAAATTATTTACAATGATTACCTGTTTTAATTTCATACTGTTTGTTTTTTAGGGGATAAAGCATTAAAAAAGAAGGTTCTTTGTGTAAAGATGGTCTCAAGGACAAGTGCAAATGATGCTATTAGTGAAATTATTTTTCTCAGTAAGCTAAAAAGGCCGCCAACAGGTTACACACTTATTGGGTAAGACTGAGATCAAATTTGTCCACTATTGTTGTTCTCAGCTATGTTTACCTGAGCTTCAGATTTCATGTGTACGTGTACCAGTTTCTTCATTTTCAAACTTCCATATGTGCACATTTATCAGACTTTGACATTCAATAAAAAGTTTTATTTTATTGATGTTTACCTCTTCTGTATTTAGTGGTTACCTTGATTCAGAAGAGAATGTGATGTTGTTAATAGGCCTGTCTTATAAACTTTTGTGATTGATGTGGTAAAAATTCAATCAAATGTCAAAGAGGTTCATTTTTGGTGAATTTGAAAAGGAAGAATCTGGCCTGAGTCAGTTCTGAAACTCAGGTTGATACACTGTATGCAATCCTCATATATTTGTAGTTTGCAAAAATAATCATTGTATCATATATAAGCTTAGATAGGGTATCTTTGGGTAAACATGATTCATTAAGCCAAACAGAGAAAATCATACATTTATGTTGCTGTGTGATTTAATCATTTCACTTCCAAAAAAAAAAAAAAAGAAACTCTGATGTTAGAAAGCATCACTAGTACGTTCTAAACAATAACATAGTAAACATGTGAAAAGTCGTTGATCATTAACATGTGACAGTATTTCTTACAAGTGAAAGTTCAGTCTAACATGTAAGTTTATTTTTTATGTCAAAATCAATATGTGACATAATTATCATTTCAGAGACATCAATAACCTTCTACTGTGCACAAAGATTTCCCCAGTGCCACAAGATGGCTCCACTGGGCAACAAACATCACTTCCTTACAGTATGCCGCCATCATACATGTCAAAACCGCCAACTTACTCCATGGACGCTCAGGCACAGGGACAAAATTTGCCTTACACAGCTAACCCCAGCCTTGCTCCATATATGCCTCCAAGTCACAGGCGTCCTAGCCCTGTGATGCAGCCATCTTGGATGTCTAGTCAAGGTCAAGGTCACTCCGCCAGCAGTGCAGAAACAAGCGGTCTGGTTAGGCAGGGGAGCATACAGACTGTGAACTCTCGTAAGTATTAAGATTTCTCATTCAATGCGAATTCAGATTTTTGTTACGCTAAGACATCAGACTTCACTTCCTTAAAGTATACCAGCACATTGTGAGTTGTATACGGAAAGTACCCTGTATGTGTCTTTGATATTGATATTGCTATTTAGATTTTATTTGATACACTGTAGCTGCTATAAACAAATGCATTTCCTTATGAAGTAGTTAATTAAATTTAACAATTTCCAACATTCTTTTTTCTTCTGGTATATTTTTGCCTTTTCCTATTTGTTTATGTTTCTTAATTTGCTTACTTAATTGATATTGGGAGATTTCTGTATGTTCTATAACAGAATATGTAGAAAAAATAAAGCTGATTTAAATAATGACAAAGGCACACACATTGTAAAAAATATGTGTAATATATATATAATAAAGTTTCATTTACATTTATAGTAGAATTATAGAGTGAATAAGTTATTATAATTACATCTTTGAAATAAACTATTTAGGTCTTATTTCTTTTTTTATCATTAGCTCTCTATGGTATACCCTTTGAACTTGGTCCTAATTTGGAAGATTATTCCCATTTAAAAAATGTAAGTATGTTTTATGGTAATGTATGCTTTTTATGATTTCTAAATTGAATTTTTATTATATAATTACAACAGTTTTGGTTAACAACATGCAAAAACAACAAAAATTAATATTACTTGCATTAAGAACCAAGAATAATTATTTCTGAATTACATATGCATTATGAGACCAACTACTTCATATCAAAGTATATTTGTTTATATAAATTTTATTTTCAGATGACTATCCCTGATGTTAAATATAAAACTTTGATGGAAGTTATGAGCGATGTAAGTAAATTTCTTTTCAATTTTCTAAAATATTATTTGGTTATATTCACACTTTTGATGCTTGACACTAATGTAATCAGTTTTTATATTTCCATCCTTTTCCTGTTCATAGAATGATGATGAATGTAAAAGCTAAGCATATGCATTTTCTTTTACAGTACAATTATGACTTCAACGCAGAAAAATCAGCAGCTGCTAGAATGCCTCCTGAGTGATCTAAGCCAGTGTTCTTGCTACATTTGACATAATTACAATACAACAGAGGAGCGTCTGGTGATCATTGCGTGGCTTTGTGTCACACCTGACACAATGTGTTTTATGATGTCACAACAACTGCAATGCCTTAGGGATTTGTGGCACATGGAAACCATAACAAAAACAAGCCACATATATATATATATATATATAATAGATGGAGATGGTGCTTTATGTTGGTGGTGACAGACTCAGCCACTTGTGAGAAATGACTTCAGCTGTGATGTAATGCTTACAGAAGTTTGAAGAGCAATTCCCAATTTGTACCAAACTGTTGTAAATTCTGTACTTTGAAATGTATTCCCTCATTTATTTGATTAATTTAGCTGAAAATTGAAATGAGGGTGAAATGCAAACTGTAAATACCCAAGATCTGTAACTGTAGAAAATGGATATAAAGAAACGTCCCAGGATTGTTGAAAAAGTAATAAGGGGGGCAAGGGTAGGGGGTACCCATCCTACGGACAAGTTATTGACTAATAAAGAAATGGTGGTATATGCCTGCAAGTGGAGAAGTTAGCAATCATTTAGGTTTTATATACAGTTTGATGGTTTATTCAATTTATGTGTTGGCTTAAATTGGTATAAAAACAATGGTAAATTATTGTTTTAAATATGTCCCAAATGAATGTGGAGGATTGAGGTTGTAATTGGCTGTCAGGTGTTTAGTGAATAGGGGATTATTTTTCAGGGACCTTCATTCATTAATTGACTAAATCAAAATGAAGATAAAGAAAATATAGCCTTCAGAAACAATCCAATGAGTATTGACATTTGAACTTATATGTTTTTAACAATTTCAAATGTTAATTAAAAACTATTTCCAGTAAGAGTGAGTTCAGTGCACATTGGTTATTTAAGGGTATTGTGGGAGAAGAGAACATTTTGTATGATAAAAAAAGTGCACTTTCAGAAACAATTTTTATTTTAAGGAAGTCGTGTAAGTATTATAAAAATATGAAATATTCATCTTTTTCTTGAAAACTAATGCTGATATAAAAGTAATCCTGAATTGAATACCAGCCACTAGAAAGCTGTATATGTGTGTTTGCATGTCTTCTATCTTTTAGGGACTCTAGTTTCGATCAAACAATGTGCACTTCTTTAGTATCTATGCTTCCAAAGGTTTCGGCATCCTTTTTTAAAAAAATGGAGCAATTTTCCAGCACCCATAAGTGTATATTGAAGAAATTTCTATTAGTCTTGATAGGGGTCTTTAATTCCACAATCTCGCTTAAAGCTGAAGGTATTGTCATTGCTGGTTGGGTTGTTACAGTCTCCCTCTGGTGGAGGTACACTTTGAGCAATAGGAAATGTATGCGACATGCCCCTGTTAGTCCCAGGGTGTATTTTCTCCAATTTAAGGAGGGTGGGGCTGTTTCTGCTTTTGTTTGTTCGAAAAAAGGGGTGCCCCTGCACTAGTATATGACAAGGCATGATTTTCAGAATGTTTTAGTTTGAAATTAAGGCTTTTACCATTTTCTTTTCAATATTCTTGCCATGAACTGTACAGTGAAAAAGAAATGTAGCAAATGCTGCTTTAGTGAGCAATCATTCTGAACATATTCATTTCGTTTTTATATATTTATTCATTTGCCCATGGGAATATTTGTGATTGTGCTTATGAAAATTATTCTACATATTGCACAGATTTTGTATCAAACTTTTTAGTTAACAATGTGTACTTCCAGTTTCAGCATGCATGTACAGGGTACCCTAAAGTTGATCTGAATATATTTCGATTTTTGAATCCAAGTGTTGTATTTTATTGTATGGAAGGATGTACAGTTGATCAGTATTTTTGTAACAGACTCAGAATTGCAGCTATCCAAGAATATCTGCATCTGAAGCAACTGTCTTAAACATTTTGCTTTGGTGATGATTATTCAGCAACTCATTCATAACAGCAGTATTTTATTATAATCTTAACAAAATGCAAAATCAATACAACAACCCCTGTGTTCTGACTTCTTCAATCAACTTAATGACTATTTACAATCTCTAGTAGGTTTACCTATGTGTTGCGGGACCCTGGGTGTGCTTGCCCTAAAATAAAAAAAAGTATGGAAAAGGCACTGATATATAGCAAACTTACACAAATTCAGTGCCTGTGTTATTTTAGTATGAATCAGATCCTGTACCGTTTAAATGTAAACAAATACATCATTATGGGTAAAAAAAATTGACAGATTTTCAACTGAGAAAAGAAATTTCAACTAGAGTCAGTTTTTTTTCTCCTCCGAGAGGAGATTTTTTTACCAGTTATCTTTTGACATGCAAAAGAAATCAATAAGCTGAAGTGGATGGGTTATAAATCTGGCTTCCTACTAGCTGTATATGTGACTGTATGAAATGTCAATGGAAGAAGAGTTTCTTCTTCCAAAAAGGCCCATGAGAAAATGTTGGTCAAAGTAAGCCCAGGCATGTGTTAAACCTTTCACTTCTAGATGTTAAAAACAATTTACACGCTGTGTGTGAATATCATACTTAAAAAATGGCCTAATGAGATATGATTTGATACAAATTGGTCATTAAGCTCAAAAAATAATGAGGGCGCCAGTGTGATTCAAGCGAAGATAATGTCATAAAATGCACCATTACGAATTTCATATTCTCGGCATGTTCTTTATTTCACTCTGTGATGCTATCAGAATCTTTTAGGTAGAAGTCTTAACAACTTCTTAGGCTGAAATATTTGCTTTTTTTATGAGCAGACACTCTATATCTTTAAAAGTAGCCATCACGTGCAGCTGTCATAACTGTCGGCACCACTTACATGTAGCTTCCTGTGCACTTTTTCCTCGTAAACTCCATAAGTAAGTTCTAACCACAATAATCAATCAGAAAACCTTTGCCTAACGGGGTGCAGCCAAATACTTAAATAAGACCCTTTTCCATTTTGGCTCATGGACTAAAAGGAAAAACGTTACTTACTATTATTCAAGTTAACGGAATTATTCTATGGACTGAAACACCGCTCAAGTTAAAAACTAGCCTGACGGGATTATATTTATTAAGTTAATACATTTGTGAAGTAATTTCTGGATTTTTTCTCAAATTGACTTTTTTGTAAGTGTGACTTTGAGTTCCCATGGATCTAAAGCTCTCTGCTAGTTGTGTTTTATGAATGTCCACAGTAACAATAGTACACAATTAAAATCGGTTGTTATTATGCTATTTAAGCGTTTCGTGATATTGCATCAAAACTGACAAAATCAAAAGCAGTTTTGTGCAATTTTAACGAAATAGATGGATAACGGCGTGACTTATTAATCTCAGACTAACTGGACTGATTTATGGCACCAAAATTCAGTTCAAGTTCGAAAACCAGCCTGATGGGATTATCTTTGTTGGTGTTATCCAGTGTGTGTTTTCTAGATTTTTTTAAATATTTGCGTATTGGTATTTTTTTAGTTGTCTTTGCATTCCCTTGGGTCTGACGCCCTGCGCAAGCTACATTTTTTTCAGAATGCTCAGAGAAACAGATGTACGTAATGAAAATTAAAAGCGAATGTGCTATTTTAAGCATTATATGTTATTGCATCAAAATCGACAAAAGTATTCTAATGTACTTTCATTTTGAAGAGGTTGTTTTTAGACTGTTTTAATGTCCCAGTGACTTTTTCTATCAGTCTTGCCCTTTACCGGTATATTTATATGTATCTGTTTATTTGATAGCTTTGCTGCCTTGTTTGTTATTTACTTACAGCATTTTTTCTTTGTAAAATAACGGAAAGAATGAAGCAATCACACCGATAAAATATTCAAAGAAGCCGAAGATACAAGTACATGTACTACATATATAAGATACAGTGAATATAGGTAGCATAAACAATCTGGGCTATATAGATGATACAGCTTAGTTAAACACATATCCAGACCTGCAAGAGTTACTCACATCAGTCAGTGAAAAAGGAAAACCATACGGAGTGGAAAATGAACAGACAACAGACAATTTGAAAGCTTAGCTAAATAATAAGATCAAGAAACATTAGTATCAGTCTAAGGCTGAGTATCATTAAATGTTACATCTAGTCAACACTATTATACATTTTGTGTACACCCCATAGACATCTTCATTAACAAAAACAACAATGGAAAAACTGTTTGAAATATCACGGACTGAACACAAAAGTAGTAAGGCAGTACTAAATAATTTAAAAGTAAAAACATCATTACTGAACTCCAATGCGAAAGCGGTTGATGTACATAAACATTTAACGAAGAAAAAATCATTTTGAAATTCAAAGATGTTTCTTTTATTCCTATGTGGAATACTGCTGGTTCTGATCCGAGAAGAAAAAAAAAAGAAAAAAATGCAATTGAAATTGCAATATAGAAATACATTTTACGAAAAGGCGTTCCTTTCAGGCGTTTCTGGCATTAAAACGTTGACTGCTGATAAGCGGTATTATAAATTGGCGTGCTACGTTATCATAACCGTAGTTAGATCGAGGCAACACGAGACTTGCCACCTCTCAAATTTAAGAGACTTGTTTTTCTGATAATGCTGTTCCACTCCTCTTTGTGACCGTTTAAATCTTAATGGGCACGTGTGCGCGCGTGCGTGGAGAGACGGAGAGATGGAGAGGGGGACATGGACACGAGAAAACCCGTTCATTTTGAACGCGCCATTTTTTATTAAACCAATGATTTCTTTCTGCTGTTAATAAGCATGCATTACAAATTAGTCAAATTTAAAAATCAGTTTTATCTAAAATTGGCTGTATTGTATTTTAGTACATGGTTTACCTCAAAATACGTTTTTCTCGCGCTGAATACTATTTCGACTAATACAGAGAAGTGTGACACTAAGTTTCCCACCGTGTTAATTGAAAGAGCCCATGTTCAATATCAATCTGTTGAATGAATGACGCGTTCTATCAACTTTTATCAAAATATATATTATATACAAATGTACAGCGATTATATAACCACCTCGGATGCTTTCCTCAAAAGACTATTCAATTTAAAGTCCAATTTGTATATGTCGATTAATTTCCTTAGGCTTTTTAACAATTTCTGTTTAATTTATGAATTAGAGAGACGTTGCCCGCCCTTGAGGTTCAACGCGTTTTTTTTTTTCCATCTTGTAATTTTTTATGATTTTACTGCATCTACAAGCACATGATTCTATAGCAGAGAACTTACCGGAAATCATTTTTAAGA